GGAGGGCGGCGGTCCGTGCGCTGTTCTTGCGGGCTCGGTGCGGTGGTCTCCTGCGGGCGAGAGGCTCAGGATGTCGAGGAACGTAAGTGTTGCCCCCGAGGTGTCCCCGAAGCCTCCTGCTCTGCCCTGTGCTGTGTCTGATGCGAAGGTGCTGCCTTAACGCAGAAAAACCTCCGATCTCTCCTGCATAGCGACAGCAGTTTTGTTTTGAGCTGTCTCCTTTTGTTGCCGTGGATGTAATTTTAAAGTCTGCATGTTTCACTGGTGAGGTGAAGTGTAACTTGTTATATATAGCGATGTTTCCATTTGGTGTGGAATTCAGGGCTGTTACTCAGTTGTCCTGGCCTGAGTGCAGGGTGTGGACACCAAATACAGAACCTAGAGACAGACTGACGGAAAGCCTGAAAGAGCATGTTGAGCCACTATAATAGAATAATTTTTTTTCCCCCATCAGGCTTGAGTTTTATTTCTTGGCTGTTTTTCTGGTGCGATGAAGCATTTAATAAGTGTGGGGAAGTTTTGGTCCAAGGCAAGAGGTGCTTCTCTGTAGAGCAGCAGTATTAAGAGAGCTAAAATACTTACTTTGAAACAGAATACATTCTCCTTTCATGCTAATGTTGCATTTCTGGTTTATGTCCACCAGTTCTCTGACACAGGCAGCAGAAAAGAACATGTTAAAATCACAAGTGAGCCCAAACCAGGATTTCTGGAGAGGCTAAGTGAGACTTCTGGAGGCATGCTGATGGGACTTGTGACATTCCTTCTGGCTTTCTACCTTCTTTTTACCAATGAAGTAAGTGAAACACACTCAGTGCTTGTACACAGCTTTAAAATATCATAGCTGAGGTGACATTCCACTAGTTTTGCATACGTAGGCTTGCTAAAATGGTCACATTAATGTATTACTTCATCCATGAGAAGTGGGTGTTAGGTCTGCAAAGCCTGGTGCTTATGCTTGGCATATAACAGAAGATAATATTCATGTAGAACTGAGTATAGTAGAGACAGTGGCAGTGTGTGTTGGAGAGAACATCCAAAAGTTGTAAATTGATGCAGAAACGGTCTGTGGTATTAGGACTGTATAAGCCAGCCATGTTCCTGCCTTCTCTCTTGTTTAGGGACAACAACAGGTCCTCATTTCTGTGTTCTTAAAATTGCATTAAAGAATCCTAGAATTTAGGGGTTGGAATGGACCTTACAGATCATCTAATCCCAACTCCACCTACCATGACATTCATATCCCATGTTGCAAAAATGGGTCTGTGGAATAAGTTCATCAGTTGGCATAGTTTTTGCAGTTACTCATGGACCATGAACAAATTAAGAGGTGATGAACAATAACTTTGGAGCCTTGTAAGAATAATCTATGTGTGTCTGAGAAGCTTAGTCAACTTTAGTGGTCCTGCTGCATGGGCAAGAAGTACTGCCCAGACTGGGTCAGACACAAAGAGAATACAGAAGTACAAGTGTGTTTTGAAAATATGCCTTGTGGCTGAATATACAGACATTCCTTGTGATCCTCAGTTCACTTGTTTTCTAACCTTTCTCACAAAGTACTGCTGTGCCATTGATTATCCACAACTTGATTTTGCTTTTCTTGTCTGCAGGGACGAGCTTTAAGGACAGCCAAATCACTCGATGAGGGACTTTCTCTTGTGATCTCTCTTGATAGCATCCACAGCATCTCTCAGCAGAACGAAGGGAGACTAGTGCACTTAGCTGGTGCTCTGAGTACATCTAAGGTAAGTCAAATAGTACCTTGAAGATATGACTATTTCAAGCTTGGAGGGAAGAAAAAGACTTTGCCAGTCAAAGTTATGTTTGATATCCAGATGAAGACATGCAGCTTTACTCCCCCTCAGTAAGCATTGGCAGCTACCACCCAAGCACTGGTTCTTGGCCTGGAATCAGGTCGATGCTGAGTGGGCCTGGACTCTCTACTCCTAAGCCACATGCTGGCTCTAGCTGTGTTTGCCCTCCCACTGCCTTTTGTGGGTAATTTCAATTGCCTTTTATATAAGGAACCTGTTGTGCATTCATGATATTGTGAAGTCTTCAGGCTCTTGCAGCATAAGCCTCTGCAGGTTCTAATTTCCCAGTGGTGATGACATTTCCATCAGCCCTGCATTGCAGAAGGTAACACAGCATGGTACTTCCAGCAGAGTGAAATCTCCTCCTGATTTAAACACTGAAACCTGCATGCTATTAGCCAGCAGTTCTGGTTTCATTCTTCACCATGGTGATAGTTTTTGGTGATGATTCTTCAGGTCAGATATGTCAGTGATATAAAGAGATGTTCCTGTTTGTCTTTCATAACATTTATACTGTAGTCAAATGTGTGTAAACACAGTGCTGTGTACAGTGAGGTATGTAAATGGGTTTAATAACAAGAGTACAGTGTTTGAGTTTGTGAGGTGCAGCATTGACAATGACTTGTATTTTCTTTCCTTTTTGCACAGCCTTTGTTTGACCCCAGCTATGGGCTTTCCATCCAGGCTGTCAAACTGAAGCGTAACGTGGAAATGTACCAGTGGGTAGAATATGAAGAATCCAAGTAAGTGAAAGTAATCTTTAAAAGTTGTTGTATTAACAGGATCCCATCACATTTTTTTTTCTCTCCCCATACTCAATGAAAAAAAAGCAAACAAACAACGAAAACATCTTTAGGCAGGAAAAGTCTAGAGCTGTTGATTTTATTCTTTTTTTAGAGAACCACTTTAATTTCGCTGGAGATGTCAGTTCTAGTAGATGGTCAGTGCTGCAGAATTTGCATCTGATAAAATTTGGGTAACATTCAAGGCCTTTTATCAAATGTTTCCACTTCCTCATTTTGTTTAACTTCATATGGGATTTTATAGCCTTTATGCTGCAACTGTGGTCTTTTATTTTCATTATTGCTGCCTGATGCTGGGCCATCTCAAAGCCCATTGATCTATTTTCTGTCATGTGTGTTATCACCAGAATTCAAAAAAAAAAAAAAACAAAACCCACTTGTTTTTTTCCCAAAGACTCAGTGGGTTTCCCTTTTTTCTAGTGTTCCTAAACCTTACTTTATTTAGTGATGTACTTTCTGCCTATTAGGATTTCTGTAACTCAACCTCCATTATACTCTGTGCCTGCTGGTTGATTACCAGAGTCAAAATTCTTGTCCCAAAATACTTGGTTTGAATTTTTTCAAATAAAACTTTATAATCCTCTTTTCCCTGCATCTGTGAAGCCTTTCCTGCTGCTGCCCTTTAAAACTTGAGCATGGACACTCAAGCCACTTTTTTTTTTCCCCTCTGGCTTCAAAAGGGAAATAAAGATTTTTGCAGAATCCAGAAACATGATCATATTTTCCCTTGGCTGTCTTCCTTTCTTCCACAATGACAGTGATTTACTTGTTGGGGTTTTATTTTGATTCACTGATTGTTTTATTGAAAGTCTAACAAAGGGGTCTTAACTTCTGTTGGAAAAGTGAACCCAACAGTTTCAGTTGTGGATTCCAGAATAAACTGATAAATCCATTGACCCCAAAGTTGTTGATACCTACAGCCTAACATACACTAGAATATTTCAAAACAATTAAAAAAACCCTATTGTATCCAGTTGAATCTAGAAGTCAGATTCTTTTCTCACATGTGTGGACATTTGAGACTTTTTGGCACATGACCATGAGGGAAATCTCTTAATTTTTTTGCTACTTTATATATCTGCAAATTGAAGTACTTAACTAAACCAAGACTTGATTTCTTGATTTTGAGAACTCTGCTACCCTTTATCCTTAATAATCAAAAGGCAACATTAATTTCTAGCTGTGAAAGTAAACTGAAAATTTTAGTTGCTCGAGAAACACTTGGATTGGATCATAATAGGCAATAGCTTTTCTGGGGATTTACAAAGCTGCAGTGATGTGTTAGCAACTCTGCTAATAGTTACAAGCAGAAGAGGGAAAATTTCTGCTATTACTAGTAATTTCACTGACAGTAGCATGAGAGTTATTAGCTATTGTGTAGGTCTGATTGCACAGAACTCATGTGCCAAATGGCTTTCATATCATATAAAAAAAGGTCAGAGGTTGTGAAGGTGTGAAAAATAATGTCTCAGTTTTAGCATGCTTATGGTGCAGTATCTGTAAAACACTTAACTTAGGTCAGCTTGTCTCACTGTCTTTAGTACTGTTTGTTCCTCATCGATCTAGTCAACATCTCTTTGTTGGAACATGGGAATAAAAGGTTTGTGGCTGTTCAGCATTTGCATGTAGTTTTCTCCTTGTACAGAATCTCTGTCTTCAGAACAGGTAGTTCAGAGAAGAGTTAGGTTAAATGTAAAGAGAAGTTTGTGTTGCCAGTGATCTGTCTCTGCATTTGTGAAGTGTATTCTGCCCTGGGCAGGGGTGTGTGTGCACTGTCCTGGTTCTCATCCCACCCCTTTTCTCTGCAGAGAATATGAAGAGAATGGTGAGATTAAGAAAGAGACAAAGTATTCGTACAGTAAGTTGATCAACAGAAAATCTCTTTTATGCATGTAATTTTGGACTTTTTTGTGCAAATATTTTGATTTTTGTTGTAAGGCCTGTAGTGTCTTGTTGGGAAAGAAAGGAAAGGGATGTGAAGAAATAAGTGAAAATTCTATTTCCTAAACAAATGACAGAATCTTCCTGGTTTGAGGTAACTGAGATGGAAGGAGATGTGCTCTTAGCAACCAACTACTACAGAAAATCTGAGACTTGTCTTGGAACTCCTAGAGGTTCAGAGCAGCATCCAAGGATATGATGCTCCAGAGGTAAAGGGTCCATAAGGTCCTAAGTGACAGGAGATAGGCAGAGGTGGGAGTGTGTTCAGAGTTCCACTTGAGTTTACTCCAGACGTGGAATAATTTGGCATATGTTAGGTGTGAGCAGAAGAGAAAAGACAGGGAAGAACAGTGTAGCTCCAGCCTGTAGGAGAGCCTGTTGGGAACCTGTTCAGGAGTTGATACCAGCTAATGAAAAACACCAGCACCTTGTGATGTGCAGTGTGGCTTTTGCCAAATGCTTTTTTGGCAGGAGCAGAACTGGGCATGTTATTCTGATCTACCCACTCATGAGTCATTGTTTATCTGGAGATTGGTCTCTGTGCTTCATTTATCTTCGATTCAAGCACATGGATGTGTAACGTGGGTGTGCAGCAGTTTCTGGGGTGTGATCATATAAAAATACCCAGCTCAGTGAGGCATGGGACCTCACATTACAGAGGTACATGAGGAGCAAACGCAGTGGTTGTGTGCTGTGAAAAACAGCCTTAATGCAACAGGGAAAAAAAAAGAAATGTCACTTAAAAAAACAGCTGCCCTCTCTAGACAGATGGATTCTGTCCAGTAAATGTCTGTGTATTATTAGATGTGGTGGGTTAGCCTTGGCTGGCACCAGGGACCCACACAGCTGCTGGCTTACGCTCCCTCAGTGAGACTGGGGGAGAGATTGGGAAGAACAGGAATGAGAGAGCTTGTGGGTTGAAATAAAGATAGGGAGATGGCTTTCCAGTCACCATTATGGGCAAAACAGACTTGACTTAGGGAAAATTAACTTAATTTATTGTCAGTTAAAATAAATAATTACTGATGCAAATGTTGGCAAAACGATTTGCTCTCACCCTTTCCCAGGCTCAAATTCACTCCAGATTCCTCTCCCTTTGCCCCCTGCCCCTTGTTATCACCACAGGTTACACTCACTCCCAGGGGCTGGGGATCAGCTTGCAGTCAGTACGAGGTGGTTTCTGTCTGCCACTCTTTGCAGCTTTGTTAGTTCCAGCAGAGCTCTCAGCCTTTCCTCACAAAACCAGGTTATCCCAAAGAGTGAAGCCAGGAATCAAAGCCTGATCATGGAAGATGCCAACAGCAGAGCTGAGCAAAGTTGACTTAAAATTTTATCCATAAAATCCCTTTTTCCCCTAAATCCTGCCATTCCCTGTTAATCTCCTAGGAGGATAAATCTAAGTATCACATACATACCTTGCTGTAAACAGTATTACTAGAAGTCTGACTTAAAAGTGATTAATTGATTAGGTGTCTGTGTGTCTTCAGCGAGTGTCTTCTCAGGCTTCATATCATTTTGTTTAGATACAGAGTGGAAATCGGAAGTCGTGAACAGCAGAAACTTTGATCGAGAAATTGGACACAAAAACCCAAGGTAACTTACCTGGCACAGTCCCTCTGGATTCTATCACTGGATCTGATCAAAGATGAAAGCTAAATGACTAATTTCATGACACAGTGAGGTACTTGGGGACTGTTGTTCTTTTGGTAGTTGAGACAACAAAGGCATAAAGAAATTAAAGAGCAGTTCAGAGCTGCCTGTGGAACCAGAATTAAATGGCTGGACATCAAGATATGATATTACTTTTGGACCACGGGGTCTCCATGTAGGAGAACTTGCATGAGTTCCTTTCTGGCTTTTATTGTTCATTAGTGCAGTCTGTTACTAATTCTTTCTTCTACTGCAAGTAGAGGGTTAGAATAGCTGCCTTTTCTAAGCCAGCATGCATGAGCTCACAGGCTTATTTTTGGCAATTGCCACATAGATTTTCTTTCATATCTCTCACCTGCAGCATTTTAGTTACACTACAATGTGCCTAATTTAATGCTAAGGTTTAGCTTGCCTGCCATTCTCACAGTACCTGCTTGGGATGCAAGATGTCACCTGACAAAAAACATCATGTGTGAGTGAAAAATACAGCCAGAGAGATAGTAGGGCCAGGATCTCAGTGAAAGTTTGAGATTTGCAAGATGTCCAGAACTTTGCTTTGGTTCTGTGGGCTCATCCAAATACAGTACCTTTTATTTGGAAGTGCTACCTAAGGAAGGAAAGCAAAAATCTGTGTGGTTTTGACTATAAGTCCCAACTTAGCAGTTTAAATGAGAGCAAATGGAAAAAAGGATGCACAGGTGACTTACCTGCTTTGTCTCTCCTCCCCATGGACACTTTTTTCTTAATGAAAATTCTACAGGCCTTCTGCAATAAATGCAAATCTCTAATTAAGAAGCATTTTTATTTAGTGCTGTTGCAGCACAATTTTAAAAGAGCTGCAGCTAAGAACATTTCATGTAAGTGTACTGGTAGAAACCAAGGAGACTGAGCATAACTGTGGTGGATCCTTGTGTGAGACAGCACAGTGTATGCAGCCATGCTGAACTCCAGAAATCATGCCCAGCATTAATAAGACTCTATTTTAAGTGTGCACTACATGTCTTCTTCCTTCCTTCCAACTTAGACATTTGTGAAAATAGAATCTGTTCTTTACTGCCAAGGAGATTCCAGTAGTACTACTTTGAGAATGAATTCAGGTCAGTAAGTAAAGGATTGATGAGTTTGGAGTCTAATTAATTTGGCCATGATATACAAGTGCATGTGTATGGAGAAGGTTTATGATCTAGGTTTCTTAATTTAGCAGGTAGGATCTAGCAATTGACAACAGAAGCTAAATAAATTCAGGCTAGAAAGACAGTGCATTTATGAGTCTAGTTAAATATTGCAGAAATTCATCTAGGAATGTGATTAATTCATTGTCACTCAAAAAAGCTTCCTGAGACCTGAACTGTGTTTCAGCCCATTACAGGTTCTGTAAGCAAAAATCTGGTGAAATCCTGCAGTGTGAATGGAAGGTCAGGTCAGGGTATGAGACAATCATATTTTGTCTTAACTTATTTTAATGGCTCCAACACTGTGAAGTCTGGACATACTTTCTTATTGGATTTGTTTTCACATCACAACAGCAATTTATCTCTTGGAGTTTCTGTGATATTTGCCATAGTACTTTTTATGTGCTATATATTACATACTGCAAATCACAAGTTTGACCATAATTCTGGGACTAATCAGGAACTCTCTCTGTTCCCCAGTGCCATGGCTGTGGAGTCTTTCACTGCTGTGTCTCCTAACGTCCAGGTTGGCAGCTTTGTTCTTTCCAAAGGTAAGGATTATTTTGTACTGTCTTTGTGTCTGCTGTGGCATCAGCAGTGAACTTTGGTTCTTTCCACAAGTGATGTCATGTGAGGTGATAGTCAGGAAGGCAGCCAGAAAATCAGCTGTTCCAGGTTAGACACCAGACCTCAGTTTGATTCTTTATTCTGCTTAGGTCTCGTGGATAAAATCGATGACTTCAAGCAGTTGAGTTTGTCACACCTCGAGGATCCACATGCTGATGTTACCCGAGGAGGAGATTACTTCTATCACAGTGAGAACCCCAGGCGACCAGAAGTAAGATGAGAAAGATAAACCAAAGCAGTGATTACTCTTACGTCAAAAAGAAATTGGGGCATGGCCCAGTTCTATTTAAATATGTAGAAAATGAAGTACAGACTATCACATAGAATGACTCCCTTAGTGCAGTCCTTCAGCATGAGTGTTTCTCTTGCAGGAAGCATCCCATCCTGCTTCTTTGTCTTCTGTTTTCCTGAGTCTGCCATGCTTTTTTTTACATGAATAGTGCTAGGAGGTGGATTTTACCTCTGCCTCACTGTACTGAGGAATAAAATGACATAGCTTGTTGTCAGCTTGCCCTGCCTGCCCTCCTCTGCCAAAAGATGCAATGACAAGGGATGAACAGAGCACATCATTGGTGTTAATGTGCTCTTGCAGCTGTCAGAGGGGGCACTGCAAAACAGCATTTAAGCTATCCTGTTTTGGCTGTCAACTAGACCTGGAAAAAGTACAGCTTGGAAATCATTCTGGGTATCCTCTGGCTTGACATAAACATTTAGAAAATGTGTTGATACATAAAGGGTGTTCCCATGCTGAGTTATCTTTCCTGTGGTTCTCCTTTGTGAAACTGTTTTTTTACTTCATGTCTTCTCTTCTGACTTCCAGTCTTCTCTTGTTTGTAGGTAGGAGACCTTCGTGTCTCATTCTTCTATGCAGGTCTGAGTGGGGATGACCCCCATTTGGGCTCTGCTGATAAGGTGAGTCTTCAACAGTTTCTGTATTTTGCAAATTCTCTTCTCAACTCACTAACCAGTAAATACTTTTCCCTTTCTTCCAAGGTGACTGTGATCGCTCGCCAGCGAGGTGATCAGCTGGTCCCATATCATACCAAGTCTGGAGATGTCCTACAGATTCTATATCCTGGGGATCTCCCTGTGGAGGTAAGATACCACACTGCATTAGTGAAAGATGAACAATGGAGATGGTAGTGCAGAAGCAGGAGAAGAGTAAGCTCTCATTCTCCTTCAGACCTGCTCTAGAGGAGGAGATACTGTGTGTAAGCATTGGCTTTTCCCTCTCCTTTTTCTGTGAAAATATGTTGTGGCCTGTATTTGCCTTCCAAGTTTCTGGGCATCCTTTGTGTTGCAGGAAATGCCATGCTTTGCCCACTAGTAGTATATAATTTGACTATAATAATTCCTAATTTTTTTCTTTTTAATTTAAAAAGGATCTCTGGCTAAAGTAGCTTCCTATTTTTTTAAAATATATCCTCTTGTGTTGCTGTTGAACATCCTCTGCCTTCTCATTTTGCTTTCATTTGCTCCTTGATAGTTTCCCACTTTCACATGCAAGCACATGTTTTGGAAAAGGTCACGTGTCAGAATAGTAAAAATCAAGCTTTAATTAAATAAACTGTAGGAGTTATTCTCTCTTCAGCTCCTAATAACAGGAGTTTAGGCTTGTTTGAAATGTTTATTACTATTCTGGCTGAGAAAGAACCTTCAGGCAGAGCATTATGCTCCAATAAATCCTGCATGCTCCAGCAATTTGGTGATTCATTTACTCCTTTTAGTAGGTTTGTTTCCATTAATGATTGTTTCATGCCCTGCTGCAAAAACCCCAGATGTTAAAGAGTTTACAGGAGTTCCCAGAAGCTGTTAAAAAGACTTTTGTTTTGACTTGAAAGAGAGTAGCAGTAGAATCAGCTCTCTGCTGTGAGCTTTGAATCTTCATTAGATGGAATTTTAGATGATTGGAAATTAACTCACTACAGATGAATAATTCATAGAGTACTACTTTGTACCACTGATCAGTCAGTCATAGACATCTTTTCCCATTTAGTGTTTTCTTATGTCCCAGCCATCTCCATGTGGATGTTTTATAGAGCCAGAGGGTCACACAGCCCATTTTGAAAAAGTCTGAATTCATGTAGTGCTTTGCTTTGGCTGATGAAATACACACACACTTTTGATCTTTTCTTCCCTGCATCCTGCTTGCTGTCTTTCACACACCTTTCCTTCAGCCATCAGTGGATATTGTTGGTTTTTTCTCTCTTCCTCCAAACACAGTGAAGTCAGATCATTCCTTTCTTACTACAGTTACTTATTAGTGTCTTATTTCCAACAGTAATTGTTGAATGTATCCAGCTGCAGCAAAACCTGTGCTCTGCCTGTGGTTAGTGTTGAATGATGCTTGTTAGGTTGCCTTGATGTAGCAAAGTGCCAGTTTCCCTGGAGCTGCACTGTGCAGTCTGTTGCAGTGCCCTGCCATACTGCACAGACAGACCCTGCAGAACGAGCTGCAGTGTATCTTCTGTGAGGGAAACTGTACTCCTGAAATGCTGTTGGCTCTGATTTGCTTGGAACATACTGGAATCAAGAGGATCTTGAAAGAAATGGAGCAACAGGCTGCATGTCATGATGTTTGCTTGCAGGAAGTGTTTCAGAAGGAGCACCAGAGTAACACCATGAAGACCTGGGGCCTCCGCGCAGCAGGTTGGCTCTCCATGTTTGTAGGCATCAGCCTCATGACCCGAATCTTTTACACCTTAGGTAAGTTTTTAGAGAAAGGTAAAATGATCTAGAAATAGGATCACTATCTCTAGAGGGTCATCTTTTGCTCTCATATACAGTTAATTAATTTGGAGACCAGGAGGAATCTGGTTTGCACTCAGATTGGATTTAATCTGAAAGTCACTGCAGGTAAAAAGGATCCCCAAACCATCTGGTTGCTTTGTGAGCATTAAAATACCTGCTGTCAGTGTCAAAAGATCCCAGCCCAGAGCTTACCAAAATCAGAAGCTGAAGTACATGTTGGGCTGGTTCTTTCAAGCCCATATCAAGGTGCTGCACCTTGTAATACAATTACTTTCTGCACATACACAACTGGTTCCCCCAACAGGTCTTACTCAGTAGTTGTATAGTGATATGTCTGTGTCTGGTTATTCTATGCTACTGTAAACAAACAGCAAAGAAAGTTTTTGTTTATCCTTTTAACACAGAAAAATGCTGAAATAAAAACTTAAGGAAAAGCAGGATGATGCCTCAAACTTCTATAACTTTCAGACATCAAAGCTATCATTTGCTTTGCAGCTGTGAACCCTTTTATTTTCTGATTTGTTTATCCCTATACATGCCACTGCAAGATTGATTGTTGCCAGAAATTAATTTTTGTGCTAGCATATTGTGTCATTTGCCTTAAACTTGTTCCACAGCTGCAAGGCTATCCATCTACTCTGCCTCTCAAGCCTTGGACAATCCTTCAGACTCCATTTTGGATTACTTTGTGTCTGAAGAGATGAGGATAGCATTGCCTTATATATTTAGCTGTTGCTTAATTATCAAATGCCTTGAAGATGCTCTGCTGAAATGCCTTATCCAGTGCTCTTTGATAAATAATTAGAGTCTGTCTTTTGATTGCAGTAATTGATGTGCAGATCCTAGCCATGAATCAGACTTTGATTTAAACTATCATCTTGTCAACTGCTTCACCCTGTGTTTAATTCTCTCTGCAGTGGACTGGTTTCCCATCGTGAGAGATATGGTTAACATTGGATTAAAAGCATTTGCCTTCTGCATGGCCACTTCGCTGTCACTCCTGACCATCTCCGTGGGTTGGCTCTTCTACCGCCCCCTCTGGGCCCTGCTCATCGCGTCGCTCTCCATACTTCCCATCGTGGTTGCAAAGTCGCGTGTTCCGCCCAAGAAGCAGCAGTGAGGAGGTGGTTGGGTCTTGAGCTGAATCCTGGTTAGAAACTTCTCAAGTGCATTTCTGTCCTGGTTCCTGCAGCATATTCTTACAGCGTATCACAGCTCAGCAGCGTGCACCAGGAGCTGGGGAGGGGGCTTCAATGTGGTTGTTGGTACATGTTATCCATAGGACTATAGGATGCTGTTGTAGGAAGTCAATGACATCAACTTTGGGGTAAAAAGCATTTTGGAGTGTCTGTATGGACGACAAGTTAGTGAACAAGCAGATTTGTACTTCTTCCTGCTTATTAGTAATTCCCCCTGATTTGAGAACTGGCAAGTCCTCAGTGACGGGTGGGGCACCTGGTGTGTTATGGAGCAGGTGCCAGCTGCACCACATGGACCCTGGTTGATATCCTTAGGAAATACATGTGTGTACCTGTCTGCCAAACCCTCCCTCTGCTGCTTTGGCTGATGCACTTGGCAGTGTATGTGTTCAAAGGGAACACACAGCATAGCCAAATTCTACACAACACTGATGTAAAATGTGCTTTTGGATGGAGGATTTTCAAAGTAGCTCAATGTAATGAGCAGCCAGGTTAGCTCTGAGGTTTATCAGGAAGCATTGATTTTCCCCCCACCTTTTAGAAGTCTCTGTTGTTCTTGGTTAAGCATCCACAATGGTAGGTTAGACTACAGCATTGCTTAATTATCTCAAAAATTTCACTTCAAATTGCACTTAAAGACATACCCAGAGGTCACTGACCTGTAAAAGTAAAACCTGGTGCTTTGAAACAACATTAACGTTTAGAACTGAATGTATAGTCTTTAAAATATTTGGGTTGTTTTGATGTGTATACTGTTTCTTGAATTTCACTTAGTAAGGACAAGGAAGATACTCCATGACATTGAAGAATGGACACATTTTTGCCTGATTAGTTTTGATAGATTTTAGTAGCCTAAATTGTGAGGGTATCATGTTAGAGGAATGCCTTCTTGTAGTGTCATGGCTCATGTTTACATATTTCTGCTGTAACCAGTACTTGAGCTTGGATTCACTCTTGTACTGTTTTAAGTCTCTCCACCTAGCTAGAGTGTGGCTTCCACATGGGCCCTCCCTGCACAGGATTTTGTGGTTTTTTTGTAAGTATACACTTCAGTACAAAATATCTTCATTTATGAAATCTATTTATGACCAGCAGGAGCAGAGTGTTCTCCATACCAAGGGACCTTAACTTGAACGTACACAGAAGCAAATGTTTGCTAAAAATGGTACTGAAATAGAAATCTCAGAAATCATGAAAGTTTTGAGAAGTCAGAATTACTTCATTAATTATTTTCCTTCTTTTGGTATTTGAATGTTGTGAGTTCAGTCTCCTGGCTCAGTTCTGCTGGTAAGAGCAGGAGCAGTGAGTCAAAGGGTACAGGGAGCAGAGGTGGCCTCGTGCATGCAGCTGGCACGTGTTGGCAGTACTGCAGAGTTCCTGCGGTGCACCAACACCAATTGTGCTCCATCAGTTGGGAACTGCTCTCCCCTGGGGAGAGAAATGTGTTGAATTGCTGTTGTTTTACTCATGATACAGGACACTAACCAGTGTTGCCATATTAGAGATGAAGATACAATTTTCTACAGAAGTGCTGAGCTTTCGTATATTTAATAAAATAAGTTTTCAAAAGGTTGGGCTGTAGGCTTCTCTTTTATTACGTTAAGTATTGTACATTTCATGTCCAGGAGTACTGTCCAGGTATGTGGAGGAGTAGTTTATAGCTTCTACATGAATTAGTTTTCTATTGTTGCTTGAGGTAAATGCACAGTTGAGTTTTGTTTGTCCTGCATTTTGGGAAGCAAGTTCCTACTAACAGCAGAGCTGCTCCCTGGTCTGTATACCTCTGATGCCAGCCTGCCATGGTTTTACTCCCCATTTCTGACTCCTGGGGGTTACCTGTGCATTCAGCACTTTAAAATCCTTTTGTCTTGCATCCTGCTATGTGCACAGGAACGACACAAAATAAATAAAGACTCCTTTCACAGACAAGAACTTCACATTCCCCAGGCCAGGTGTGCTGGTGGAGCCCAGGCTCACTCTCACTGCACGTACACAATGTTTCTATAGAAATGACTTACAGCATGTTTACTCTTTCATCTTCTGCATGCTTAGGTTAGCAGTGCCACCTGCATACATAGCTGCAAAGCAGCATCCTACCAGCTGAAGATGTTGTCTCCTTCAGAGCTGACTACAAATAGTCCCTGGACTCAGAGCTTTGGGTATCTCTGCTGCATGTCCCAAGTGAGGAAGAATGGAGTTGCTTTGGTACAGTGGTACCAGCTCCCTATTTAAGCTGATGAAAAGCCGCTCATCCCATCAGGAGCTGGACATGGACCCTCATATTCCACAAGCTCATCCTGGGCTGTATCCTGTTTGTCAGCACTAACACAGAAGGAACTACAACCTCTGGGCTCACTGCAGTTTTACCAGTTCCTGCAAGACTTAGAACTTTTCTTGAAGCTTTGTATACAGGTGAGATCTACTCCCCAAGCTTCCAGCTTAGGTGGGTCTTTATTTGTTTGGAATTTGGTAGCAAAAACTAAAAACTCAGAGTGTGAAGACCTTTAACAATAAAACTCTTCACAAGGAGCTGGTTCTGGGATATCCTGGGACACAATTTGTGATACCTGGAAATGCTACAGCATGTTCTTACCCATGCATGAGAGTCCTTCCAGGGAAACAGCTGCTTACAGAAGAGTGAGCTGGCTCAAGGGGAGATGTTACAGACAACACACTCTTTTTCCATACTTTATTTTGATCTACAAATACAGTACAAAAATAGATTTTTTTTCTGATCATAATTACAGGTAAGCTATTTGCTTGCATTTCTACCTTTCCTCTGTGACAATGTTCAGCCACAACTAAACTGTTTTCCCCTCTACTTGTGAAAAGACAGTGTCAGTGTAATTTAGCTATAAAAATACTGCAAAAGACAGGTCAGCATTTCTACTATCAAAGTGCAGGAAAAGCTTATGTAGATTTAACATTCCTCTCAAAAGCTTTTTAATGCTTAAGTACTAGGTAACAAGAACTCTCTGGTTTCAGTGAATTTTGTTCCTGACAGTGACATTCAGCCAGTTGCACATGTTCTGCTCCAGAACATGATCTTGCTAAGAAGCAGAAGCAAGTATGTATAAATTCAAATTGCTTCAGTAAGTATATTGAACCTTAAGTTTGAACTGAGGACAGGACTTCTCCCTTCCAATGCACAAGATTTCTGAAACTAAAGGAAAATGGTAGGCTGAAAAGCCCTATCTGGGCTCACAAAATCCAAGTATTCTTCAGAAAGAAAATTCTGATTCCTCCAAATCCTGATTTCCTATTTCTTTAGACCTTAGAGGTAGTATTTCCCCTTCTGTGATTATGAGACAGAAAGACAGAACTCCAGCTCAGCACTGATTTGGGTAGGTATGGATCAAAGCAGGCATCAGCATTCCTTTGGCCACAGATAGTTAAATAACAGCTGCATGCTGCTGAGTTCTGAGCAAGCAGGGAAAATTCATAGGAGAAAAAATTGGAAAAGAAGGTGCTAATGAAAGAAGTACCTCAGGAAACAGAATTAGTAGTGCTGAGTGATACAAAGGAGAGTGAAAACCCCAACAAAACAAAGTGATCTTTGTTGCACTCTGGAGGTGCAACTGCATGTCTGCTTCTCCTAAGTCCAAGGATAAAAGGAAGGATTCATGTAATTACCTGTGATACCAAAGGAAACTGGATACTGAACTAGGATTGGTCCCTGACAGCTCAGAAATACAAGTGCACAGGAAGATTAAGTCTGTAACTGGCAAAGGATACTTCTGTCATGACTACTGTTCTTGCATCTGGGAACAGCAAAGAAAAGCTTGTTCTGATCACAGTTTCTCAAAAGGGAACAAGTGTGCTGCTTCTCCTTTCTTCTCTCTCTTGCTCTTTTTGGTTGTCTTCTCTTGCTTTTTCTCCAACTGGCGATTTTGGGGCCAAGAAATGTCTACATTCCCCACAGCACTCTCTGAGCTTGGAGCTCCTTCTTCATCAGAAGAGAATCCTGCCCCTATCTCTGTCTCATGTGCTGATGGCTCAGTCTGGAAAAAAACAGGTGTGAAAATTGAAAAGCTGCTCTAGGAATCACTTTTAACTACCCCTTTCTAAACGGGTTTATCTTCCATCACAGTGACACTGAGTGATGTTACAGAAGTTGGTTGCTCTGGTTTGGGCTCCTCACCCAAAGCAATGTGTTTCTACTCCTAGACATCAAACATTCTTTCAACACAAGCAAAATATTGTTGACAATGGAAGACTAAAACCAAGCCTGCTTTAAAAAGATCAGGTTTTCCACCTTTCTCACTGGGGAAAAGATTAAGAACTAAAATACCTGACTTCATAACAAAAAGCACTTTCACCCTGTTAGCTACATGCTTGGTTTGGAGGAATAAGTCTAGGAAGGGAGTATGTCAAAACAGAAAATAAATAATTAAAAATGATGCTTTAGGAAACACTAATCCCTTGTGAAGCAATAATGAATCTCTGATGGATACAACCATATCAAATTTCTGGTGTAGTTTTCTTGACTAGCTGCTAATCACATGCTAACAATAGGAAAGAAGATTTTTGAGAAACTGCACTGGGGAAATTCTACTCTACAGCTGGAAACAACATATTGGAAAGACTAGGGAAAACAAAACTTTTTGTAGAAAAATAACATCCTGAAAAAGAAATCACTAATAGAAATTAGGCTGTTCAGCCTGGAGAAGAGAAGACTGCATGGAGACCTCATAGCAACTTTTCAACATCTGAAGGGTCTACAAGGGAGCCAGAGAGGGACTCTGTGAGGAACTGCAGTGATAGGAGAAGGGGTAATGGGTTCAAACTGAAGGAGGGGAAGTTTAGGTTAGATATTAGAAAAACATTTTTTACTATAAGGGTGGTGAGACATTGGCACAAGTTGCCCAGGGACATGGTGGCTGCCCCAACCCTGGTGGTGTTCAAGGCCAGGCTGGATAAA